TCTCTTCCTAATAACACATTGTAACTAGTAGGACCATCTATTACAAAGAAAACTGTGGTCCTAATAGTTGTCCCTATAGTTATGTCCAATGGCATAATCCCTTTAGCTGAAGTTGCTCCTCCATTGAAACTTGTAAGGATGACTTCCGTTGGAATCATATCACTTTCTGTCTTTGCAAATTTCCTCATCATCCTAGATGGAATGGTGTTTATAGCTGCTCCATTATCAACAAGTACTTTTGCCACAGGTATGCCGTTAACTAAAGCTTTAACGTACAATGGCCTCAAGTGTTTAGTTAACTTCATGGCTGGTCTCTTAAAAATAACCTTTTCGGCAGCATCTATTTCCACTTCCTGTTTGTCCTCTGTCAAGTTATCCTTTTGTCATAAGTCAACGTACAGTATGTCGCACTGAGCTTCCGTTTCCTGAATTTCCTTTTTACTGTTTTCTAATGCTTCTTCTTCGGTTACCCAACCTGTGAGAGGAGGCATTATTCTTGGAGGTGATCCATACTTTTCAGAGTGAGGAACTCTCTTTTTCCTTTTGGGCGTCCCGTATAGCACGTAATAATCAAAAGAACGCCCAAACAATTCCCCCAACAAGTCCACTTCACGAAGCCCCTCTCGATGTAGTTGCTTCAACAGAGTATTGTGCGATACCCCTCTCTTTCTTTTTTCTGCTTCCAGATCAATTTCCTCTTCGATGTTCGTCATACCATCATCCCATTCCTCTAGAAGTTTGACCTTCTTCACATTCCAGCACACATGCTTCTTCTTCGTTATCCTCCCTTTCTTCTTCTTCTTTCTCTTTGTTCTTGAACTTATTGGCTAGTAAGTAATTATTAGCCATGACAGGAGGTAACGTACCAAACTGAATAGTAAGGAGCTAATCTGGATCTTCTCCATCTCTTCTGTCTCGCTCAAACTTCAATTTTCCAGGAGAAGTTTCTGGCAATTCTTTCATTGATTCACATGTACCAGTCTCTTCACTGTCTTTGAAAACATATTGATTGGCTACCTTGAGTAATTTAGGCGCTTTAGGATGTGGCATTCCTTGTTGTTGCCTCATCATTCGTCCATAGTTCCGTTTAAAACGCTTTTATTGGGTTCTAGTCATCTCGTTGAAGGGTATCACCCTTCCTGCGTTATACTGGAACGAATGTCATACATTTGGTTGGCGAGGCTAGGTTGTGGCCTGAATATTCTCCCATTATTTACTGGCCTGGACTACCTCTCAAAAGGCGGTCCCCAATAGAATGATGTACCTCGCCCTCTATCAGGCTGAGCATTTGGGAAAAAACTAGGGCGATGGTGATGCTGCCATATCCCTGGTTTCTCTGTATTTGCACTCACTTCTCTTTTGCATCTTACACACAAGACGTCTTCATCCTTTTTGGGCTCCTTCCCTTTGATACGTTCAAAGATACTGGGATATGGCCCAGGGTCCTCTTCCCCATCATCTATAACCAACTTGAATTTTGACAACTTGTTTTTGAAGCCAGTCGTCACCATGTTCACCCCAAGTGGCTGTGGAAAATGGTTTTCATCCACTGCCATTTTCTTCTTGTCTTCGAATGTAATTCGTCCTGATTCAATGGCATCCTGTAACACATGGTGAAAAATCAAACAGTTGTTAGTCAAATGTGACCATACATTATGCCACTTACAATATTTTTTACCCTTAACTTGTTCAGGGCTTGGCAATTTATGTTTATCGCTCAGCTTTATCTGTTTATCCTTATATAGTTTATTAAATATAAGATCAGCTTTGGTTACATCAAACGAGAACGTTCTAACCTTTTTGTTTTCATCTTTTATAGGCTCATCCTTACCCGACGGTCTAGGCTTAGCCATTATAGGACAAGTATACTTATCTCCTTTAATTAATTCGGCCAAACACATTTCGGCTTGATCGTAATATTCGTCATTAATAGTATGAACATCAAAATTTGGGTCTCTATAATAAGTCCCCTTACTAGAATTTTTCATTTGCTCTTCTTCTCTTATTAATCGTTCATACCTAATCACGTTTGTGCTTAATTGAAAAAGATCAGGAAATTTCTTGTCTTGAAATTTCTTTTTCAAATCAAAGTTTAGACAATTTTGAGTGATTTTGACAAACTTCTTTTTTGGGCAAAGGTACAAAACATTTACTTCTTGCTGTCTTGAACTTTTGAAGGAAACTTTCTGCCCATTCGTTTGGCATTTGACGCAGACTCGCCAAATCGGCCAAAGTAACTTCAGACTCAGTCTTATAAAACTGAGCATGGAATAATTGCTCCAATTGTTACCATGTTTGAACAGAGTTCGCTAGCAAATTGATGAACCAGGAGAAAGCTACTCCTATTAATGAACTAGGGAACAGCCTCATTTTATGGTAGTCTATTACTTCACCACTTTGTAGTGTGAATCGCCCTATGTGTTCTAGAGTAGACACCTCTTCTAAACCGGTAAATAGTGAGAATTCTGACAATTTATACCCTCTAGGCCATGGATATGCTTGGTATACCCAATCAGGATATGACTTTGTGTAAGTCGGCCTAATGACAGGACGTACTCCAAAAGCCATCTGATCATGTACTATTTCTATAATTTGATTCCTCAACATGACGTTGGGGTCATATGAAATTCCTACAGGTTGGTTGATCGATTGATTTGTTTAAGGCCTGATGTTTGGTCCTTGGTTGGCAACAAAGTTGCCTTGATTTGGGCCGTTGTTACCATTAGCCTGAATATTTATTCCATCATTAACACGTGGGGCATTCTGTCCATTATTTAGGACATTGTCTCTTACATTTAGGTTACCCCCCAAGTTAGCTGTACCATTACCACTTTTCTGATTTGGCATTACACCATCCCCCTGGTTTGAAGTAGAGGGACGAAAAGGTGGTTCTATTCCTTGATTTGGACTTAGGACTATGGGATTATGTCCCACAATTGTCCTAACTTGAAAGTGATTTGCAAGAGGCACAACTGGCTGACAAATTTGGCCTACTAACTTATTCATTATTTAATTCAAAGTATTCAATTGTTTGGCCATGTTGTCATAATGTGCATTCCCATTCTGGGTAAATCTTTCCATATTATGAATATTTCACAGATTTACTTGTTCAATGACATCTTGTGTGAGTTCTCCAAGTAATGCACGCATGGTTCGAGAACTCAACTCCGTCATTGGTTCGTAACGATTGTAACTGTTCTGACTCTGTCCCTCTGTTTGTGGAGAGTTATGCTGCTCATCATATCGCTCGATCACAGACTGGACTCCTCCCTGACTTGCTGCTTCCTTATCAGATTTGTGAGGCATAATGTTTCACCTTTTGTATCTTCAACACCAAACACCAATGTCCCACTGGGCGCGCCAAATTGTTTCGCACGGGTAGTCGCTAACAATTAAAAAAGGGATCAGATGATTATGTAAGGAACAAACCTTATGAGACAAAGTCCCAAAAAGGGGTGTTTTACTGGCGATGTTTTACAATTGGAACTAAACAGAATGCCTCCAAGGGGCACAAGCACACGAGTACTAAAAGAAATATTTAAGTTTAAACTAAGAAATTAAAATTACATATTCTCTGTTTGAGAGTGTTTGATTCGGATTTTTTTCTCTCTATGTCTTCTCTTCCTTTTATATTCCTTTGATGATTTCTTCATGACAAACCGCTTGGAAATTGCTTGATTGCTTTATAACTATCCACTTTCTTTATGGTGGCTAACTTGTGATGGAACTGCCGTCTCTAACTGCTGCCACCACTCTTTGTCGTTCAACCGCCTTCAACTGGGTTCCTTGAATCGTGGAATGTGATAAAGTTACTCAATAACTGCGATAACCATAACATTTTATGTTTGCTAAGATCCTGGACGATTCGAAGGTATGGGCGAGAACAGGGTCATCGTTCTGGGCGACTGTAAGGTACTCCATTCGCTCAGATCTTGGGCGTCTTGCAAGCTTGGGTGATGATGTTACTGTGTTCGTGGGCTTCCACTGCATTCATTAATAACTCTGTCTGGGCCTTTATCCTGAATTGTCCAATTGGGCTTCATTCCTTAGGCTATTCGATTTGGGCTTCACTTTTAGTGTCAACAGATTCTACAACACAAAATGCTGGGAAAGAACTCTGAAGTTTGCCACGGTTGCAAAAGTGTTAAGACACTTCTTCGATGATTGTCCGATAAAACGCCAATGCCCACGTTGTATGCATGGATTTCAGAAGTTTTTCGAGGTTGAAAGAGACATCGTTAACAAAGGCAAATTCTTCAAAAGTTGCAGTACGAAGAGTGGATTTTGGGATTAGTGCAAAGATGGAGAAGCAATCGGTGAATTTAGTAACACTAGCATTACTTTGGCTAAAGTAGCTGTCCATGAAGAAGTTGACGATATGTCATGAATGTTCTAATCTCAAGTTCGGCTAAATAACGAAGATGGGCTCTTAATTTCTATAAATGTGAACGTGACGGTCCATCGGAGAAAATTACCTACCGAGTGGATAGATACGACTTGATTAGTGGTTTATGGTCTACGTTATGTTAACTATCGGCATGCTGTAAATTTGAATTTGGTCAATTAGTTTAGGGCAATCAGTTGATAGATTTTGGTTGAACTAGCAGTTTTTACTTCGTGTGCCTCGTGTCTTGCTGGCACATTGGATGTTCGTTAAATTATAATGTAAGCAGTTTGGAGTTGGTTAAATGCTTGGATAGTTATGTTTCGGAATCATAAAAACTTTGATTATTGGCACTACTTGTCATGGTTTTTGATTCACTTTGTAAAAACTCATTACATAGTGATTATGCTGTAGGAGTGCAGTCTTCCAACTCCAAGCATGGACCATTTCCCAGAAAGTGGATGCCTCTGTTTTTGCTTTGATCGTCTATGTTAGTTGTTTTCTTTTCTTTGTTTCGAAATCACAATCGCCCAATGCCATTTAATTTCAACCGTACATGTCATTTTGTCAACTAGCATTGCAACCCAACCTTGTACAGATAGTATGTAAAAATAGATAAATGAGGAAATTAGAAAAACAGTGGATTATGTAAAGTACTGTTGGCATAAAAAACAGTTATGCACAATGGAAAAGGACCAGTCGAATTTACAGAGTTATCCCTACAAACCATAGTTATTTTCAATACTATCCCTCTCACTTCCTTCCCTTCATAGCTACTTTCTTTACGGAAGACTTAAAGCCCTTCGGCTTCACGCTCCTAGCCGAGGCCCTCTTAGCTGCTGCTGGCGCTGCTACCTTCTTCCCAGGAGTTGTTCTAGTTGAGGTCCTTTGTACCTTAGCCGGTGGCTTCTTTTCAGACTTTGTCTTCGCTACTGCCTTTCTCTTGGCAGTTGCCTTTGCCTTAGGCGCTGCAACAGCTTTAAGCTTTGTAGCTGGCTTAGCATTAGCACTTGGCTTGGGCTTGGCAGCAACCGCCTTCGGCTTTGGCTTGGCTTTTGAAGGGGCAGGCTTCTTTCCCGTAGTGGTTTTCACAGCAGAGGCTTTCGGCTTGGCAACTGGAACAGTCTTTTTCTTAACCGGTGCAGAAGAGGCTGGCTTCGGAGCCGATGAACGAGATGGGGGAAGCTTGTACGAAGCCTTCAGTTTGACCAGCCTTCCAGAAGCCACAAACTTCTTCAATTGAACCAGTAAAAGCCTCTTGAAATTCGCTGGAAGATTCTTCTGCTTCTCCTCAATGAACTTTGTAATTGCGTACTGACTAGATCCAGTCCTATCCTTCAACGTCACGATCGCATCTTCAATCATCTTAAACACAAAATTCACCAAAAATACTCAGATGTAAAATTCAAAAAACGAAAATAGAAGTATAAAACGAACAATCGAATACCTCAAGATAAGGAGGATTTCGTTTTCGAAGGGCAGCAGCAGCTTTTTTAGGCTTGGATTCCTTTTTGGTGGTGTTTTTCTTAGACGTGGTCGTTTCAGCCGGAGGGTTTTCTTTGCCAGGTTTTTTGTCGGCGACAGGTTCAGCCACGACCACCATGGGGAGAACTCGTTCTTCAGTAGCCATAATACAAATTTGAAATCGAAACACTACGGCTTTGTGTGGGAACTTGAAGAAATTGAGAATCAAATACAGAATCTATACGAATTTTTCGATTGTTTTGAGTGATAATCAATTGGAAGAAATGGGCAAGGTTAAATAGTGATCGTGTACCCTAATGCTGAAAGCTGATTGGCTAAAAGGCCATCGAGAAGGATCAAGACTTTATACTGAAGTTTAAATTAGGCCGTTGGATGGGATTTTTAATCCAAGGTTTGTAATTTAGATGGTGGAGACTTGGATTGGGATGCATAGAACAGGTTGTTTTGAAGGCCCTAGAGGTGTGTTTTTGTCCTTGATTTAACAGGGAATAAATTGATCTAGATTTGATGGATTTCAGTGAGTTTTTCGCTATTTTGTAGGAATTTTTAGCAGCTCTCTGTACAGTATTCACAAGAGTCGTGACGATTATTCGTTTGGAAGATATTTGATTCGAAAGCAAAAGTGTTGAGATGAGGGTACTATTGGAGTACATTGTGGTTTTTGAGCTTTGTATGATAATGCTTGAAACAAATCGCTGCCTTTGACATCGAATTTGATAGTGCTTTAATGGACAAGTTAGTAGACACAAGAATCGTGCAAATCGAATCAAATGTTAGATGAAAATCGAAGTTCAAATCTGACCGAAGATAAACATTTTATGCTAGTGATGTATTAGATTTCCTCTAAAACCTACCTTTATATTGCAATGGTATTAGTGTTCATTTGAAAGTACAAGATCCAACAATATTCCATTGAGACCATTCCTTTCTCTTCTCTTTCTGTCTGGTGCTCAATCTTTCATTGAGGCCAAGTGGACGAATGAAAACTCCAAACATGACACCTCCATAGTGCATCTTGAGATAAATTCCGATGACAAATCAAGTATGGAACTCTTGAAAGTAATGGTCTTTACTTCATTTCATTTCACAAACATTAACATTGGCATTTCATAATTAACTTGTTTAATTATCGACATATATTATCTTACTCAACTTTCTGTGAGAAGGCTATGAATTCTTCTTCGCACCATATCGAGATAATAGCATCATTGGTCATCCATCTTGTATTTCATTATAATTGCATGCAATCAATCTTCAATAATAGCAGATTCTACCAAAAAAAAAAAACCTATAAATGATCATCTCGTGAATTTCATTCACATATTTGGTGCAGTCCGCGCGGATGATTGAATAACACTAGGCACATTCACCGACATTCGTTTCTGAGAGTGAGAATTCAACTTGAATATGAGAAATAAAACAAGAATCACAAGCACTGGGATAAAAACACAGAAATTTGGTATGAAATGAAGAATCTAGCATAGAAGTTGAGCAAAAAAACTTTTCTACCAGAATCAAATGGGTTAAAAGCAACATTAGTTTTAAATCATTCCCTAGACAATTGTGATTTTGTCCAAAATCCATACAAATCATGAAGCAGCAACACTATTGTTTCCTTCCCCTGCCCTTTTTGGCAGGTTGTGCTTCTACTTGATCTTTCCCACTTACTTCTGATATATCCGCTGCAGAAAAAAGAAAACCAAAGTTCCTTTTATTGTAAAGCAAGTGTACACCAGTATTTGATATTGCATCAAAGAAAGGGACTACACATCCCGATTTACAAGAAATAAATAAATAAAGGGACTCATTTGCATGGGGTAGATTAATTGATTTGTGAAATAATCTCGAGAAACGATGTTACCTTCAGGTCCACGAGCCATCAGAGTGAAGAATATGTTATTCAGTTTTTCCATCTTTTTAGCATCCTGAGCTTGATCCGTCTTAAACTTGATACACTAATAAAACATAAAGAAAATGAACCGCTATGTTAGATTATTCATGTCTCCAGTATGCATCTATTATCCGTGCAATGTATTCCATTCTTCAAATTGCTGAAAAACCTTCAAGTTGCATTTAAGAGACATATTGTGTACGAAGCTAACAGTAACTCTCAAATGAGTTGAAGAAATAAGCATCTTATACACCTAAAGTTATGATATCAAATGCACAAAGATGCAAGATAGGGTAAAGAGGTTTATAACCTGTTCAACTGTTCTTTCCTGATTCTAGTCAATATTTACAATGAAGACAAAACTGAATAGAAGTCACCCACTACAGTGGGGTAGCTTACCCAAACACCATTATCCATTCTTGCAGTTCTGACCGAGCACCTTGACTCACAACTAAGATAAAGAAACGTTCTAAAACCGTGAATGAATACAGTATGTTAATAGTAAGTTAACACCTGATGCTAACTCCGTCTTAACTATATGTAAAACATCTTTTAATCCTACTGCTATGGTTCTATAGATTTTCTAAAGGGGATAATACTTCCTACTACATCCACATCATACTGTCATCTGTCAAAAGAGTGCAAATAAGGACCATAAAGATTTTGAAACTATAAAAAGAAACATTAGCATACAAAATCTGTGCATATTCTCACAGCCCAACCCCCATCCTTGGTCAACTTGTAGATATAACTGTATAATTAAATGACTCCATAAATGAGTAAAATACATAATTAATAGATGAAATAGAAGAATTAATACAAAATTCCACATATTTCAGTCTTCAGACAAAGAAGAAATGAAGAGAGAAACGAGACAACCATAGCAGGACCATGAATCACTCTTGTGAACAGTTTTTATCATTTTATTCCTTTTTGTGTTACTATCTACAAGTTGACCCATTGAACTGTATCGTAAACTAAGAAAGAGGATGGACACTGCAATAGGAAACAATAAACTAGTCTGCTGTATAGAAAATGGACAAAAACTGACAAGGTAGAAAATTAATGGATAATTAATCTTCTGAAGGCAAATTTGAGAAGCATCCCACATTCCAAAATGACACACAGCATTCATGACAAGGCAAAGATCATTAAATTGGTGCAATTATAATACTATGCTGCAAATAATAATACCAAACATTATTCATCCTGTTGTTACGCTTTATACTATTGCCATATTTGTTCATGGAATATCATTCATCACATATATTGAGCCATGAAGCATTTTGCGGAGGTCTTAAAATCATAGTGCATTTTAATAGATGTTAGTGAAGACCACAAAATCTAGGAGACTGACAGATACCTCTATATCCACAATATTTTCCTCACTAAGTACATACTACACTGCTACACGCCACTTATTGCATACACGATTGCGTATAGTATGCTTCATTTTCTTAATCCATTCTCCATTTAGATTTACATATGCACATAATAATTCTTCTATTTACTGGTGAGAATATTATTGCCAAGGAAAGGTGTTCTATGGTTGAAATTTGAGCTCAACGGTTTGAGCTACAAGATATTTCAATTGGACTATTGTATCTTGGGAGAGATTGTTTCCGCCTAGAGAAATATAGCACCTCGGCCTAGATTGTTTACGCATAGAGAAATATAGCACCTCGGCCTAACTGTTTACATATTTGTTTAACAAATTTACTTTATTATTTTGTAATTTTTCCCGCTACTTCTCAAAGAGGAACCAGTGCATTCAAACAAATTGCCGTGCATCTTTCGTTGTGTTCAACAAAATTTCAACAGCCAATGCAATCAAGAACAGTGTGAGCTTTATATTTAGAAAGTAACATGCAAATTGTACTCGCAACTAAAAGATTAGTGCAGTTTGTACCTCTCTATCGTCAGTTACTTTGAGAACCAATTTACCATCGCAGTGCCTGTATTTCATCCCATAACGAGTCTGCTTCACAAAATTTACAACAATCAATTAAAATAATACAAAGAGAAGACAAATAATTTGTAAATGAAGGATTTACTTTCTCGGGATCGGCGCGAAACAATTGAACAGATTTTTCTACAAAATCGTCCCATGATGTGATGTAAACCATTCTGATTAAACTGATCTACTGCCGATCGGTTCGTGCCCCCCCCCCCTCTCCAACTCTCTGTTACGAGCTTAGACAAAGCTAGCCCGTCGTCGATCTCTGGGTAGAATATGAAGGTTTTTGGACAGAGTTTCTCTTGGGGTTTTATACTTGCACATTTATGGGGGTTTACTGGTTGTTGGACGAAGCGACGTCGTTTCCGAAACTGTGCCATGTTGATCTGAAATCGAATAAATTTGAAAAATTACTCTTATGTCCTCGGTACTATTTAGTAATTAAAAAGAAGTCCTTTTAGTTTCAAAAATATGAATCAACTCCCTTGCTAAACTTGACATATTTACGGTGTGTTTGTGCCCCCATTATATATGTGAATAATGTATTATGGAATGGTGATTGATGTTGAAATGTGTGGTTAAAAAAGAAGAAAATATTTTTTATTTACGTGTAATATTATTTTAATGAAAAATGTGTAGTTAAAAATGAGTACTGTAGAAAAAATAATATGGTAGAATGATAGACAAACAAAATCTTAGTACAATAGCTTATAGCCTTATACTATAATTAAAAATCGATATGCAACAACCATAGCCTCTGGTGAAATTTGATCATTTTTGTTGGAAATACAACTACAATAGTCCCTAACACGATAGATGACATCCCAATTGAAATGTTGACTCAAAGAAAACACTAATCCCCCATTTGTTCCCATTTTTTTNTAGTCCCTAACACGATAGATGACATCCCAATTGAAATGTTGACTCAAAGAAAACACTAATCCCCCATTTGTTCCCATTTTTTTAGTAAGAATTCATTTTGAAATAGTTAGCCCATGTTTGAACCACATTCTAAGAAAAAATGCATTATTTATGTCTAATCAATGAGAAATGTGTGGTTAAAATATTAGGAAAAATTTTAGATTTGCATGTAATATTATTTTATTGAAGAATGTATGGTTGAAATGATATCAAATCATTATTGAAAACTGTATTTTTTTGAAAATAATGTGACTCAAACAAGCCCTTAATTGTTGAAAAACATGTGGTTAGAAATTTAAAAGAAAAAAGTTTTAGTTATGCCTATAATATTATTTTATTAAAAAATGTGTGGTTGAAAAGAAAAGAAAGAAAAATATATTTTGAAAAAAAAAAAGGAAAAAAAAAAAGAGAATCAAATGATGACTCGATGAAAGTTACAACTTTTGGATAATCTGTTTCCTTTTATATCATTCTCGTCAGAATCCCACCTAAATACCTGTGATTTAGTGCTTGCTTGGTTTAAGTACTTATAAATATTAGGTTCCAAAGAAATATATGAGTAATCCCTTACTTTCTAAGGTTGTTTGAGCCACATTATTCCAAAAAAATACATTCTTAAATAGTGATTTGACATCATTTCGACCATACATTCTTCAATAAAATAATATTACACGAAGATAAAAAACTTTTCCTTATTTTTTAACCACACATTTCCCATCAATACACTATTCAAGAATGCATTATTACCAAAATAATGTGACTCAAACATAAAACTAATTTTTTTTCCAAAATTATTTTCAACCATACATTTTCTAAAACTCACTCCTAAGTTTTATCAACTTTTAAAACACATATTACATCAACTATTATCTAAATTTCATAAAAGCCCGATTTTTATCGGAACCAAAGAGGGGCTAAAAAAAGTAAATAAAAGTTATGGATTCTAATTTAAAATGATGCTTGACCAACTCATAAACACTTTTGAACAATGCACTCATTTTAAAATAAAAGAAAACACCATTTGAACAAAACAGAAAGCTGCCAATCATTATATAAAAAGGCACATATGAGCTCAAGTAGAAGACATGAAACAAAATTTCAATCCAAAGGTAATAACATTACATTCTACGAGTCCAACATGATGGAAGAAATAGACTACAGATTATGAAAATTCACAAGCGTTCACACTTGTAGACACTAATGTACAGACATTCAATGAAACAAACACACAAAGCATGCCAATCAAGAGCATGCATAAAACCTCTGGTAGTTCATGAACCAATACAGCGATTCATTTGCCTCCGTGCAACTTCTTTCCCGAAAAGAAAGCTTCCGGTAAGCTGACATGAAGAATGAGTCTCTCTCCCCTGCTCTGCTAATATGACAATTGTAACAGTGATAAGAAATGCGATATCACAACACATGATGATTATGGATACACAGTGAGGAAGTTCCACTGCAACTTATACCAAAATCTAAATGTTTATTGAAGATATAAAGAATGGAGGTGAACAGAGTCAAGAAGCTGGGGCTCTGCGAGCATATGACAATATCATTACGAAATCTGAAGCTGATGAACCGATTGTGGCTGATACTTTCTCTGAAGAAGCTGTTTGAAGCCACAAATCAACTAAATTATTGAGTTGTAGTGTGGGAACTACAGACTTGCCCATGCATTTAATTTCAACCTACAAAATAATCAGCAAAACAATAAATAATATTTAAGTTCATTAATCTAGCACATGCGCCAAGGCTAGAGTCCAGAGAAAAATATGTTCCATTTTTAAAGTCCAAATCATACGTTCAAGTCAATACTTATAAAGAAATTGACCCAAAACAAACCTAATAGTATTATCAAAATAAAAAATTGTTTACCAGTATTCCTGATAGCAAATGGTGGGTGGCTTTGATGGGCTGTATAGTGCAATACTAAAAGCATGTTCAGAAAGTGTTTACAAATGGTTTAAATCATAAATGGATAGAAATGAGTGTGGATAAGTAGATAGTATTTGTAGTCCTTCAGAATATGTGGATAAAAAGTGGATAAATGGGTAGTACTTGTGGATCCCTCGAAATGTGTGGTCAAAAAGTGACTTAAGAATGTTTACAAACCGTTTATAGACATGAACAAAAAGCATAGGCAAAGTTGGGTATGTGAGATGAATTTTTGAGGTGACAAGTGATCACCCAAGATGAAAACTTTGAAGTTGTTGGGAAGTGGGGAATGCATTGGGTAACGGTGATTAATCATGGGAACTACAGCAGGAGCAGGTGAAGCAGTGTAGTTTTGGCAGACTGAGGGTAGTTTCTGTCGGGTGTAGATGTAAGAGGGAGAAAACCTATGGCAGCGGCCAAGGAAGCATGAGTTACCAGAGAGAAGCAGAGAAATCTGGTGACAATTTATTCGATTTTATTCTCTCTATCTTTTATTTTCAAACCTAGATACGCAGTTGAAGAAGAACTGGATCTTTTACTAAAAACAGAGACGTATCATATCATAGGCACACAAGAGCGAGACACAAAATCCATGTCTCGCCCAACTTTGCTCATAATTAAATTAAACAAAAGCTATTATGAACTGTAACAGAAGTCAGAGCTCATAAAAGTCAGGGCTAAATTCAATTACCTCATCTTCGCTTGTAAGATCCAATTTCCTCATCAGGTATTTTTGGATAAAAGAAACAGGTATGCTTCCATCCCTATGAGAGAATGAGACAGATATAAATAAGAATATTTCTTGATTAACAATAGAACATGTGGAATAATTCGGTGAAGATTATGATTGTAATTTGTTAGTTACCAAATATTTAGATTAGGATAATTAGCATCTCAATCTCCAAGATTTTTCCTGTTTTCCTTGTTGGTTAGCTTTCTATTTTAGTCTTCCTTGATTTAAGGAGTTTGGTTAATCTAATTGATGGTTTCCACTCCTATTTATAATTGTAATCTCAGCCTATTCTGATATAAAAAAATAAGAAGAATTTTCTCTCATATTTTTCTTTAGAACACACCAATATAACATGCAAAAGGATCCGCAAGGGCAGACCAAAAACTAGATTGCGCTGTGCCCGTACAACTTTATTATCAAGAGGGACAATAAAAGGACTCTGAGAACCATATTGTATTCTGAAGTTTGATTCCATACAAAAATACGATAAATTCAATTACAAGATACCACCCCTCACCCCCACTCCAAAAGAACAATAAGAAGAAAAGAAAAGGCCCAATCTTGGGAGAAAGATGTATGAACTGCTTGACATCATATTTTCTTTTGCTACCCCTTCTCCGTATGCATGTGCATGCTGAATTGCATTGGAGAAGAAAGGAACTATGTTATAGGATCCCATAGGAGTTTAATCATGCAGCTCATTGAAGCTCTCTCTCTTAACAGAATACTATCTTCAACGTGATGATAAACTTTCACAAAACTGAAATGGAAATATGTAGCCATTCCATCTCTTTCATTGCTAAATTGCAATACGGAAAGTACATAAGCTTAATGACCCCTTCGACTGACTGTAGAATACATCTTAAAAATAATCTATTATTACTAGCTCTATGACAATTATAATTACCAACTGGATTTTGACATTTGAGCCCAATAAACACTAACAGGAGATGAAATGACACCAGCAGAAGGTTTTTTCCTGGTATTTTATCTTTCGGCCAAACACTTTTATTTACATAAAGCCTGTATAAATTATATATCCGAATATAATAAAACTACATAACGAAGTATATGGTGTTGAGTTGCATAATTCTATTACCACCAAATGCATAAAGAAGGCAAGAACCGGAGTTTCTTGAGGGATTGGGAATAGGTAACTGGCACCATTGCAACTCTGCTGGTAGACAAAAGGATAAAATGAAGTGCATTCTTCAGTAATGAAGAAAGATTGTCCTGCATTTAAACTGAAACTTCGATTTGATACTTTGAGGACTGGTGAAGTGATTAAGTCTGAACTCTAAAAAAGATCAGGGATTTTTTTAATTGCTTTCATAAATTTATTATTGTTTCATTTCTTTCATTTTAAATTATAACAAAGGGCACTTGAGTCATTCTGCAAGTTTAGGATTTTTTTCTCATCTAGGTTTTCTACATAAACACTTAACAAGTTGACTTTTTTTGTTGGTTGATAATTGGATAAAATTGAAAGTTTTTTCATCTTGTTAAATTTTTGGTATTCTTTGTTAGAACCAACGAATATTTGACCCCCAAATATCCAATATTCTCAGTAAAAACAGTTTATGGAGTGCGTTGAATATTTTCGTTTTTCCACTGCATCACTAAGAGAGACTCATCTGTCACAAAATAATATCTGTGTGACTAAAAAGAGATTTGAACTCACGTAAGATCCCAAAGAAATCAAAGTGTGACTTTGATACGTCACCGTTCTAATAGAGATTTCCTCCAACAGCACACGATGCAACTCATATTTTAGAATTTTTAGCTTCCAGTAACCGAGTTCAAATACAACCTACAAACAATTATCTCTAAGCATCATGTTTAAAAGTGTAAGCTCTTGTAGAAGTTGATTCCAAAAGTGATACTCTGGGACGTTTACAAATTATCATGCTAAATCTTTAACGCAAAGCAACTGAAATAAATCAGAGATCAACTATGAAGGCAGTTGCTTATAACATGACAACCTAGTGGCAACATATAGTGAACAAGAAGTGCTCATGTTAAAATTGCAGGAAACTAACACTTCTCAACAACCCCTGGGTAGAAGGTGATGTATGTGGCTGCTTTTCATTCTAGGGGGAAGCTACAATAAATCTTGGAAAAACTTGTGGACACTGGGACCCATTTCGGGAAAAGAGTTATTTCGCCCCCACACAATGGCAATGATACCACCAGTAATAGATGCAGACGCAAACAATGACAACAGTAATAACGTACATTATAATAAGAAGAGTGGAACTGAACTCCCACAAAATAAAAGCATAGAAAGCAGAGAAGTCCCAATAACGATAGATGATGCTTTTTTTTCACCCTTAACTAACATCTGCATCGCTTCACTTGACAGTAACCAGAATCACATAGTAATTTAATTCGGAAGGATTCACCAGTGGAAACTAGATTTTTTAAGTTGGATCCTGTTGAAGAAAAGATCTAAATTATATAAATGTGGCCCTCTTTAATAGCTTAACCTATTAGATCAAGCTTCAAAGTGTTTCATCCTGGTATGCTATCACCGCATGCAAAGCTCGTGAGTTCAAGTCTCATTGCCACCCATTTAATGAATTTGTGAACGTGTCACGCTTTGACAGGAAAAAGTAAATTCCTTCTACACGTGGGGGGCGTGCTGAAGAAATATTTAAATGAAAATTATGTCTTCATCTCTATCAGCATATGCTTTTACATCAAGTAGTTTAACATATCACTACAAAGCTACCATCAAGCAATAAGCACCCTGGAACATATTGCATGGATTATCAAAGCTATCAAGTATGACTTTGCTGATTTGCAATACAATCAGATCAGATTCAACACCTTCAATTATCACCAAGGATAAAATAAAAATTCAATAGCTTGACAAATGTCAACCATTTATAACAAGCCAGGATAACCTAATTTTAATCAAAACAAAAGCACGCCACAAAAACTAGAAAGAAGCTAACTGTATTACCATACTCACACAAACCTAAAGTAACCAGCAGATGTGCATGCTAATGTAATTGTTGGAGTCCTCTCAAACTTTGTACAAGAACAAAAGCAATTTAATCGTAGTGTGTAATTTGCATTAAAACTGCCATAAAGGTAGTATGGTATAACTATTCCATGTTTGCATGAGTTCACTGCAGTTAACAACCATCTCATGGCGGAGCTAAAGAGACCAGAAAAGAGAAGAGGATAATGTAACAATTGCAGAACATTGTAGGGAAAGTATTCAATAGAATGTAGGTAGAGACACTGCACATATACTTAAAGGATAAATCTTCTTGTACATAATTTTTTGTAAATCAATGTGTCCTCCACTCACATGGGGTGGGGTCCACCCGAATATTTTATTATGGTGGAACCCACCCCATGTGAGTGGAAGACGCCTTGATGTACAAAAAATTATGTACACCAAGCCCATACTTAAAACCCTAAAACCATGTGGTACAGTATTTGATCAATTAGTTTTATCGATGTCAAAAGTAACCACATTGTGTATGAAACTTCGGATTTTTCTGTAGAAAGCAACATCTCTAAATAGACACCATTTGATCAAATAAAATGTTCATTAAACAATCAAAATGAAAGGAAACTAATGAGAACTCACTTTATTCTCAGGTAACTTGCAGAAATCTGAGGCAAGGGTGAATCTCCATCCCTGAAAAGATAATACAGAAATTAGCTAATATGGAAAGGTAGATGGAACACATAACCACATTCAGTCCCTTCAGAATATCTAATCGTTAGAAAGATGAAGTAAATTCATACCGGTCGTCCGCAGCCACCAATGAGAACCATATTGGGTTGTTTCTCCTTTCACCTTTAGTACTGATAGCATCAAGCACAGCCTGGGGTGATATCCTGAATTCCCTAGAACTCTGAGCCTTTTTCTGGCGGATTTTGCGCATTTTTTTAGGTTTTACTGACTCCAGAGGGGAACGGTCACCGCTGTTCTTCCCATCTTGAAGTATTGACTTCTGGCCATGTTCTTTACTTTTGGTTTTACGGACATGTCCTTCACTGTCTTGGGATCCTACAGCTTCTGATTTGGCAGCAGATCCATGTGAGGTAAATTTTGAAGACTTACTCCTATTTGCAGCCTCCACCAAACAATTTAAAGGTTTCCAAGGATCACCTTTCCCTTCCCATGGTACAGAACCACACTCTCTTCCACTATCCGGTGTAGCGTGGCTAGATGGCTGGACAGTAGTGGAGTTCTGAAAAAGGAATGTCATTAAGCATGAGGAGTGGTGTCTGTCGAAATATGACAGGACAGGTAGAGTAAAGCATGTGGAAGCAGCCTATGAATGAGGCAATGTCTGTCTCAGAAATATATTCCTTACCTTCCTGTTATTCTGAGAGAATTTGTTCAAAGTCTCGGGTGAGCTAGAGCTCTCAGGATGGTCTTCCATGGAGTCTTCATCTTTCTTAAGAGGTTTCTCTATGGTAAAACTGGAACCTCTTGACGCTTTCCTTGCAACAGACTTTGATCTTCTTCCAGTCATGCCACTCTGTATCGATACCCTGGGAGTACCGACCACCAATGATGAGAGAGATCTTTCCTTTCTCTTTGCCGGTAATGTAACTGGAGTCACCACTTCAGGTGCCTGCACCTTTCTCCTCTTGTAAGGGAATATCTTAGTCCTTACATCTTGCAAACTATGATCCGGCCTAATAATATACATATCAATAGACATGATTGACAAAAAAATATCTGAACTTTCCCAATGTCAATTTGCATAAATTAATGTACTTGTGTGCACATTAAAAAAGAGCACAGAATCTTATCATTAATACGCTAACAAGCCCAGGAATATTCCACATCAAATGCTGAGAGTTTTATGAGATTTATGAATAGCCACCTGATCTGTACTGAGAGAAATAATCTATAATCTCAACCCTATATGAGGACAATGATAAACCTGCTTCCCAGAAATCCAATACCAGTTTTTACTAAATACTAAAGAATATCAGTTAACCCAGAGCTTGGGTAATATTTTTACTTGGTACACTTAAATCATTGTCTTAATAGTACTTATTTTTTCTTATTCTTCATTTTGCAAAACTGTAGAACTGTCAGTATTAAAACACCGAGTTTAAACGCCTGAAGTTCAATTGCCTGCGCATTGAATCAACGGGAGGATGCGCGGTACTTTCAACATAATATGAGTTCCAAAATTCTGTTTATTCTTGGAATCTGAACTCATGTCAAAGCATGCTAACATACAAATTCCACGTTTCACCCTCTGAACAACTAGCTTACTGTTGAAAAACTGACAAATCGGAAACAAGAACATGAAAAAAAAATGATACTACAAGAATAGATCCACTCATATCCAAGGTAGGTGTCTTTTTTAAGTACTAAGTGTTTAAATGTTAGCGTCGAAATGATAAGATTGAAGTTTATACATGAATTATTATTAATTTATTTCCTTTTGTTTGAGTGTATGCCTTCTTTGTTATCTTGCACTAGAGAGGGAGGTGGTAAGCACACGACGTGAAGTTAGATGAAGTAACATACCTCAACTTCTCCACTGGAACACATCCTAAATCAATATTACATATTGGACAGCATTCCAATTCCTCATCTGAAAGCTTCTCATAAATGCATTTCCTGCAAACTGGATGGTATTCAAAAACAAGAATATCAGATTCCTCAACCAAAAAATTCAAAGGTTCCAATGAAAACATGAAAAAAAAAATCTTAAAGCTCAGAAAACTTAAACGAGAATAAAAATCATATTGGCATAGCAAAATGTAGCTCCCATCTAATATAGAGTTTTTCATGGGGAGAATCAGTACACAAGGAGCTTCAGGTAATGGTCAACAACACAAATGTGTCTTGTTATCTCAAACTGAAAATACAAATATGCAAAAAGTCCACGCAGATGGACGCACAAGTGAGAAACGTTGTAATGAAAATTACTAAAGATCCATGAAAACAGCAAATATTCCCATATAATTAGCACGCAATCCATGCGATAAATTCCAGATTCCATAACGCAAAATAAAGCAAACTCAAATAAAGAAACTGAGAAAAACAAAAAACAAAATTCGTCTAAATGACACTATATATAGGGACCAAAGTAGTTAAACAAATAATAGAATTGCAAGCAATTACAGCACAATAGAGGCAACTCACACGTATGTAGGCATTCGATAATAGTGGTGGCGTCGCGGAAGAGCTTATCGCAAAGAGGGCATGTCATGCATGCCGCAATTGTGTCCCTATTCACCTTAACAGTCTGATTCGACATCTGAACTCTAGATCTTAGCAACCTCCTAAATCAACGGCAGCAGCTACACCTAAGGAACTCAACTCCACCACCAGGTCCACCACGTATTCACGCCGTGCATGCTATCGCCACCGCATGAAACATGGAATTTACGTCCATTCTCACTTTCTGCACTAAACCCATAAGCCAAAACCCAAAATTGTTATAACAAAAGCTGACTACAAGCACATCTAACAATATGTGAACACGTGATTATGCATAGATGCGAAATGGATTATCATTATTATAGGAACCCATAAATCTATGGAGGAGAAATTGGGGAGTAAGAGGAACGTGAGTTGGCGATGGATTTGGTGCGGCGGGTCTGGGCGATGATTGGGGGGGGGGGTTGTTGGGAACTGAATAAAAGTAATAATGGAAAAAAGTTATTTTTCTTTGCCTATCCCATGTCAAAGTGATTGGGGATAGTTTTATTTGAAAAGATGGGTGGAATGGAGATTTGGAAGATGATTGGTGTACAATGTAGGGGTTTACAGAACCCCTTCAGATACCTCACATGGGTGGGGTGGGGTGGGGGGGGGTGGGGTGGGGGGTGGGGTGAGTGGGTGAGTTTTTTTGACATTATTTATTCATACGGATCCACATTTTATGAGATATTTGTAAACTTTCTGTAAAAAATTTTTTGTGGACCAAACATTACTATGAAGATTTTTGTTTCAAGAGAACAATAGTACCATCTTTTTAAAAAATAAAAATTAAAAAATAACTTTTCAATTGAAGATATTTATAAAATGAGTAATGTTGTTCGTAAATATCAGTGATTATCACCGAACATGCCATTGGATACCATTGTCCAACTAAATTGTGATGCATTTTAGCTCTTGTTTGAGCCCCATTTTTTAGAATAAATTTTGTAAAAAAATATTGAAAATGTGTGATTAAAGATAAGTTTTAAATAATCGAACACAAACGGGGGCTTAATGCATTGGATAACATATGAAAAGGGACAATGTCACCTCACAATTAATAATGAATGCCGTTGTTTGGATAAAATTGTTCAATAGAGACTTAAGTGCTACAAAAATAAAATATTGATTATATAAATGCTAGGATTTGAAGATTATGAACCAATATGCAATAGAAGTCAAAGTTTGGGTGCTTGATCTAGAAATGTTAATATTATTGAGTTTTTGGGCAAGTGGGGCCAAGCAATAGCACGAGCCCGGTGCGCGTTTGCGATCATGCTTCATCTGAATGAGGGCCGGTTTTGGGCCACATGGAGGCATGAATGCGCATGTTAGCAAAGGTCAAATGGCATAACTTCACCGGTTACGGTGCGTGCAGCGAGTTGATATATTCATTTTTCATTTTAAATACTAACATTTTATAATATACCTCTTGTTCTAAATTTTAGGCCTCGTTTAGTACACGTTAATATAAAAATGAGAATGAAAAATATAGTCGTTACGGGCTTCACACAAAAGATAGAAAGTCAAATATGATGACTTAAAGTGATGAATAACGGTCCTATTTTTCATTTTAATGGGCAAATAATGATGATCAAGTGAGGGCTTAATGTAACAAGTTCTAGTTTGGGCTCCATTATTTTAAAAATATATTTCATTTTCTTATTTTAATCATGCATTTTTCAATCAAATAATATTATACTTAAATTCAAAAAATTTCTTTATTTTGTAACTAAGCATTCTTTAAAAAATCACTATTTCAAAATATATTTTTTTCAAAATTTAATTTTAATGGAGCCAAAATAAGTTGATTTTTTAATCCGTATATAAATTAAGTTTACATAAAATGTGATATCCGGGAAAGAGAGCATATATACTTAAAAAAAAAGGTTAAACCCTAACCTTAAGCGCCCCCCACTACCCCTGCCCTGGAATATCGTGAGGGAGGTAAATCGCAGGTTATGCCTCCAAGGGTACAGGGTGGAAAGCTGCTTGTACACTTGCACTTACCCAAAAACCAAATCCATATTTCAAGATTCAAACCCTTGACGCAGCAGTCTCAAGCAAAGCTGGATTTTTCCACCCTCCTTTTTTACCACTTGGAGATGTGCCCTGGGGGCAAGAGAGCATATATACTTGTAGTTATGGTGGTTTAAGCTTAGATAATTTTCTTTGGTGGGGAAGACAAGTCGAGAGAGTTTTGGCTGATTTAGGACGTTGTGTGCCTTATAATGAAAATAATTAATTAATAGGGAAATATGGGGAGCGGTGGGTGAACTTAGTTGGACTTTCACTATCCTTTTTGCTATGTTGTCTTAGGCTTTGCTACTTATGTCCTAGGCCTTTCCTCTCATTGACATAACTTGCATAAAGATAAATAGTTGTGTAAATGATATTTACTTGATAAATAGTTGTGCAAAATGTTTTTTTTTCCTATTTTTTACCTCATTTGGAAAAAAAAAAGTTCTTTGATAGGGATGACAAACAGTATGGGAGAGTAACTGAGGTCCTTTGTCCTAGGTTGTCATAAGACCAAATATTCTACTTCACCAAAGATCCCGTACACGGCATTTGGTTGTATGCATCATATCGGTTGAGTGCATACGACCTCTTCATAAGGAGGCCTCACCTCATCTGACGAGTGACATATACTTGGACACTAAACCTCAAATATTTATGGTCCAGTAAGGGTAGTTAATCAAGTCAATGCCAATATCTAATGTGAATAATGCGTTAGGCGACGTATGAGTGGATGAGGTAAACAAGTTGAGGGTATTCAAGGCTTTGGGTAGATTAGGTGACTCGGTCCTTGAGGTGGGAAGTGTCTATTTTGATCTTTAGTCTAGGTGAGGTTGAAGTGGTCATATGCTTGAAGATTGTACGTGTGGAGGAGTTGTAACATATTCTATCCACTATCTATTATTCAAATTATCAAAAACCTTCTGCCTTCTGGATATAGCACAAAATGTCCTTATTTGAAACGTTTTGTGTTGACTATCCTCTATCGTCAATCTCCGTCCATCCTGCCGTGAAATTCCAATAAAAAGAGGAAAAAAAAAAGAAAAAGGGAAAACACCCCAACTACTAGACATGATGTGCAAACCCTTGTGCCCCGACCCCGCACATATATTGAAATTTATGAAAAAGATCCTTGCCATATATTTTATTAACAAAAAGATTGAAAATGACGTATATGGCTTTGTATTCAAAAAAAATAAAAATAAATAAATAAATAAATAATAAAGAAGAAAAATAAAAACTAATTGCAATAATAGTCCAAACTTTTTATTTATACCAACCCCAATCCCAAAATTTTAAAATTTTATTTTCTTTCCCCACCCCACCGTCGAAACTTCATCTTCTTTTCCGCCCTACCCTCTCATCCCCTCCCCTCCTCTCCCCTCCCCTCCCACCCCATCCCATCCCACATTTGTATTCATCAGAACAAACTAGGGGGATGAAGTCGAGGTTATTCAAACGACAAGCTTAAAGGGGTCATTCGGTGTCTTATTCAATCTCATCGACGATGGTTATTGAGGATACTTCAGGAAATGAAGATGCATAAAGAGAGAAAGAGAAGCAGCAGCAAAATATTTGGGTTTTTTGTGGCTTATAACGATGATGACACAAATTCATGCCCGTCGTTGATTACTCAACTAGGGCTACGTCAAGCAACCAACCACTTAATCTACCAAGAGCTCAATGATTTATAGTTAAATTCTTATGTCTGAATCCCAAGTCAACGATGGAAGTAGGTTTGGGAGTCACGCATGTGGTATACATTTTCAAATCAAAAACATTATCTTAGCTTTTCCTTTAATGCTAGTTTTTACTTTGTGTCCAACAAAATTGTTTATTTCATTCATATACTATTCATTCGTGTTTCTTGTTTTTGCTTTTCTTGCCTTGCCCATGACTGATGCTGTGCTCGTTGTTGTTTCGGGGACTAAATTGAAAAACAGGAGAGACGAGACGGGGTGGGTGAGAAGATGAAGTTTTGAAGGTAGAGTGGGATTGAGGTAGAACATAAAATTTTAAAGTTTTGGAATTGTTGTTAGCACAAATAAAAGGTTTGGTGGGACTATGATTGCTATTAATTCTTTATTTTTTCTCTTCTTTTTCTTTTTGTTTTATTTGAATACAAGGGTATATTCGTCATGTTCAATTTTTTTATTGAGAAAATAGATGATGTGGACCTTGTTTGCAAATTTCATGTGTGTGTGTAGGGGGGGTTTGCACATCATAACTAGTAGGTGAAAGTAGAGATGACAATCGAGATCGTCATCTCGGAATGTCGGTGGCTCGACCCGAAAAAAGTTCAAGTTGACCCGACTCGAGGCAACAACCTACTGCTTTATTAAAAATTTAAAAAATTTAAAGGCAACAACCTATTGCCTTATTTTTGAAAAAAAAAAAAAGGCCAAAAAAAAATTAAAAAAAATCTGCCTGACCGGCTCAAAAAGGCCCGAACTGTTGAGCCTAATTTTTTTGGCCGAGCAAATGCTCAACCCGGCTCGGACATTTTACCCGAGTCGAGAGTTTCGACTCACGAGCTAACTCGATTCGATTTGTTGACATCACTGGGTGGAAGGTTTGCCTTTTCAATTTTTTCCATTTTCCCCCTTTTATTGAAATTTAATGGCACCATGGATGGAAGCCAGCGGTAGGGAGTATTCCGCACAAAACTTTCAAACAGGGACATAAGGTATGAAATTTTCAACAATTTGGGTAATAGATGGGGGGATTGTGCTATTAAGCCTAAGATATAATAATAAAATTATGAAATCATTAAATCATTGGAAATTGATTTTTGGGCTCCAAAAATCCATCCCAGACAAATTCTTAATTATAGACGTCGAACTTTCAACAAAATCATAAGTCACTAAATTATATTTTATCTCAATTGGATCAATTAGTTTCAAATTTCACTACTTCGTTACAATTCGTTCGTCCTTATAATCTCTAAACCAGAGACAATTGCTTGTTGGCAACTATGCCATAATGGAAACTTTCACATAAACGCTATGTGACGTTATAGAAATAAAATGGTTAAAAAAGAAGGTGGTTATAATATCAATAAATCGCGTGATTTTTTATTTGAACAATTTTTCTAAGTGATGCAGTGATAAGTTAACACGTTTTTCATGAATGCCACGTAATGCAGTAGAATAAATTGAAGTTTATTGATTTATTTGAAACAAGATTATAGAGTTTATAAACTTTGCACTTCAACAAAACTTAATCATATTAGAAATTGAACAAATCTACATTAAACTCCAAGATGTTTATATGCACTATGTAAATTATAATTTTGTAAACTCGAGTATTCTTATGATACAGTAAAAATCAACGCAACTTTGAAGTAAGTCTTTCATAAAAGTACAATCAGCATTATATGTTAACTAGTCTAATATGGAAAAAAATGAAGCTAGATGCAGAAGATTAAAACTATGAATTCTACCCTGTTAAATGCCCGTCGCAATCACCATGAGTAATTTACTATGGTTAAAAAGCTTTGTACTATGACTGTTGTCGATTTTTATATTCCTCAAGTATACGGATCGTAAAAAGTAATATAAGGATTAAGAGTTCGAATTCATTCCCACGAAGACTACTATTTAATAATTGGTTCAATTATTCCTAACTTGAATTTGATCGATAACAAATAAAGTATGTGTTTCTCTTATTTTTGTGATTTTTCTACTAAAACATAAAGGGTTATTTTCTAATGATGGTTTTAAGTATTAAGATTCATGATTTTACCATAGTTATCTCCTTAATCTCAATATCTCCAAGTTTTATACAATTGATTGTGTCTACCCAATCAAATTATTCTAATGTATTCAACTTACTCCTCTCGAGTTCTGATTGCTTCTATTTTATTAAATCAATTTCATAATCTTAGATAAAAGCACTTAAGTTCTAAGAATTCATGTAATGTTCGCTTCTCTACGTAATTGTTAATCACAAAATCAATTAATTAGTGGCCAATTAATTCGAGTATTAAGAATATAAGCAAAACAAATTCATAAAATCAATGAGTTTCTAAACTTTTTAATTAAAAATAAGGTTCAAAACTAGATAACAATCATTTATCATAACTAAATACTCAATTACACATCTTGCGAGAATAATAAAATAGGAAGGAATTAAAGTACATAACCAGTTATTAAGGAAAAACGAGAAAACAATATAGATCTTGCATCAAGAATTTGCTTCTTCTCGTGAAATCCTTGAAACCCTAGCTCATTGATTGAAATTTTGATTTTTCCCTCATTTTGGTTTGAATAATATACGTATAATGAATCTCGACATCTTGGCTTGAATGTACATGTATATAATGTAACCCCACAAGCCCTTTTTAATTATTGGACTAAGGTATGTATTTATAGAAAAATTTATGCAAAATCCTTGTTCAACTTGATTTTCACCAAAGAGTCAAAATTTTAATTTCTATTAAAGAGTTTAAGAAATAAAAGAAAACAAATCCCTTTTTCACTGGACTTATTTTCTCTTCATTCTAAAATCATAATAGTTCACCCAAGACAAGTTTTTGAGTTTGCAATTTAATCATCAAACTTTCAAATTGTTCAATTTAACTTCCAAAAATTATGAATTTTTACCGAATGCTCCAATAATATTTCTAATCGATCTCTTGTAGTTCGATTCATCTTTAATTGCTTCAAATCAACTCCAATTAAGTTCCAAATAGCCTCTTTTCATATAAATTGTATTCAAGTTGGGATTTTCCTACAATTAGCATAATTTACACAAATTAATCGATAATCGCTCAATTTTATATTAATTAAATAATAATATAAGGCCGAATAAGCGCATAAAATGCACTTATCAACGACTTACAATGTCGAAGAGCAAGTATTGTCTCGAATGATGCAAGTATTTTAACCTTTCTTATAGAGCTTACTGGAAGAACTATCTTGAACGAGGTGTTCACTACCTCTCTCTGAAGTTGATTGTTGAATACTTTACCCTAGAGCTTGAGAAAATGGGAGCTCCCCAACATAGATTGTCTACTGAGGTCATAAGTTTGAACCCTTAGTAACATGATAGAATATCATGAGGGGTAAGATGAACACAATCTTTCCCAAAAAGAACAGTACATAAGAGTATAAGAGTATGGTTTGGGTAATGGCCTGGATCGTTACAATTATAGTTATTCATTATTCATGATTACATTCACCTTCTTTAACTAAAATTTATTGACGTGGGGTGATCAAGCATTTACCCATCTTAACGTCTTTTTGCCCTTTTTTTAAGGGTGATTCACGGAACTAAGAGGCCAATGTCGAAAGCCGTTAGCTTGCCCATCGTGGTGGATCGCTTTTTACATGCTCGTAGCTTTAGATAGAATATGGCATGTCCTTGGGTTCAAAATGACTGTGGAGACGGGCTAGCTATATAGAGCAAATACCATTTATACATTTTGGTAGAATCTCAAAACCATGGTTGGATATTAGGCTCGCGAAGTATATGCACTATCGGTCGAAAACACGTCAAGAACAAATAACCCTACCTACAATAGTAAATTTTAGCTCTTTCTCATTCTTTTACAGTTTTCCAATGCACATACGTATAACTTTTTTCTTTTTTTTTTTTTATTATCCTGCGATAATTTTTGGAAATCTGAGCCAGTTATTTGTATTGAAATATTAGAGTGCGTTTGATTGTGAGTATGAAATTTACATGGTAAGAAAATAATTTCTAGACAATTGATATAAAAATTGTTAATTAAATGTGTTTGATTGATTTTATTTTCAAACTAAAAAATATTATATTTATTTATTTTTTATTTATAGGTGGATGTGTGTGTGTGAGAGAGAGAGAGAGAGAGAGAGAGAGAGGGTTGATAAGAGAGAGATAAAGTGAATTACCTGGAAAAAAAATCTACTCTCTTGAAAAAAACGTTTTCCTTGTTTTCAAAGAAAATATGGTCATGTAACTAAAAATAAGAAAATATTTTTTATGGGAAAAAAATATCACTTAAATAATACAAAATTAGAAAATTGGGTGCGACATTTTCCATGAAAATTATTGGTGCACTTTTATTCTTCTAGAGCTAGAGATAGTGGTTGTCAAGGGATGATTTTACGCATGGCGGAATCTGATTGGTTTATTACATACAAATGGATTTCCATCCATCCTTGCTCTGTGGTTAATAATGAACACATAATTGAGTATGAACACAAACTGAAAAACAGCCACTCGAGAATCCTTACAGCAACATTCAAGCGGGTGTGCTAAAAATTCTTCTCAATTCCACTGAATAAAAATGGCAGCCATTTCTGCTTTCACTCCGACCTCGTCCGTAGTCAGCCTGATGCACCTACAGAATGAATCCATGGCATGTCGTTACATTCTCGGTAAGAACTCGTCGTTCTATATTTCTCTTCTTTAAATTGATAACTATATCGTTTTAGTCTGCTCTTTCTTTCTAGTCGTGCTCGTCAGATATTTCTCTTCTTTAGATTGATAACTTTATCATTTTGGTCGGCTCTTTCTTTCTAGAGTGCTGCGCTCACATATAAAGCTTCTTTAGGCCATGCTAGACGATCTATCTTGATCGAAGAACAAAAACTGAAACCGATGTGTTGTAAAAATTTGGAATTTGTTGTTCATATCTTCTAAAGTTGAAACATTTTAGACACTTTAATAACTTGCTCCTTCTGGGTAATGCCTATGTCGCTTTGTCGAATAATTTTACTAAAATGAGATTTTGCAATTTTATCCGTTGGTAGCCATGACATGATTTTAACATTAAAGGTGATGTCACATCACATTTTCATCCTCAACCGAGGAGGATACGATAAAAGGAAATTACGACCCCTAATCAAGTGACCAAAGTGAAACCAAAACCAAACTCCAGTTACCAATTTGGATTAAATAAACTTCAATGAAACTCGTCTATAAGTTGAGTGAATAACAATGTCGTTTACTCGGATTCAAAACATGATGCAGGGCTGCCACCAGTGGCAAAGATGGGAAAAGTGAGATGTTCCATGGAAGGAAAACCTCAAGAGACTGAGTCAAAACTGGGCATGGGTGCATCTTTGACCGCATCCACTTGTGCTGCAGCCATGTCCAGCCCAGCCATGGCTCTAGTGGATGAAAGAATGAGTACGGAAGGAACTGGGTTGCCCTTTGGCTTAAGTAACAATCTTCTTGGTTGGATCATTTTTGGTATCTTTGGCTTGATTTGGACTTTGTACATCATCTACGCTTCTGGTCTTGAAGAGGATGAAGACTCTGGGCTATCTCTTTGAGCATTAAGACTCTTTGTGCGTTCGTATTCGGCTGTGTTCCGGCACGAATACATAGGGAATTAGTGGGTTTGACCTCGTTTATAGTCGTTAAGTGTATTGATTCTAACTTTGCTGGTGGAAAATTTGTAAAAAAGAATTTTCTTTCTAAAATAAGCGAGAATTATGTTGATTCTATGGAAGTGAATTGTTGTTATTTTTGTATGATGTGTTTTTCTAATTATTCATGTTATGTTTGATACGGTGGATTTGAGAGAAATAAATAATATTAAGGTAATTACAATACAATTTTTGTTTACTACGTCACATTTTAATTGCAAAGGAAGTTTCAAATCTTTATCATATTTATGATTATGTTCCCAACTTTTTCCGTCATATTTTTATCATTAACCATCAATTAATTAACAATTTTTTCTGTCCAAATATACAATTAACGAAACCCAAATATTTTTTTGAACTTTTTACACCATTCTAGTATATTTTTTGGACGGACTACAAAATATGGTAATTGATAGGAGGTTTATGAAATACGATGAAATAAAATTGAATACCTAATTGCAAATATGAGTCAACGTTAGAAACCTTCATTGCAATTAAAATATAGTGCAGTTAATAAAAACTTTAACGTATTTTTTCAATTATTTATCCATTCTTATTATTAAAGTCCAAAATACAGGATGCCGTATGATACTTATTTAAAGGTTTTTAACTATATAAAGAGTATTTTTTATTTAAAACAACGAGTTAGTTGAGAATGTTTTCTTTCGAACATATTTGAACATAAACTTTGCACCGATACACAGTGGCTAATTTAAAAGTGAAACATTTTCCAGTAGCAATAGCAACAATTTAAAAGCCCGGGATTTGGTCGGCTCATATGTAGTCCTCGTTTGACAATCATTATAATGAAAAATTTGGGTAAAATTTATTTTGGAATAGTAGTTTTTGGAAGAATGTGTGGTTAAAAAAAAAAGAATTATTTATTTATTTATGCGTAATATTATTTTATTAAAAAATATATGATTGAAAAGAAGAAAAAGAAAAATGTATTAAAATTTTAATGACATTCGAACAAGGTAGTATTTGGACTTTGAGTCGCAAGGTGTTTTGATGATAGCTTTGCGGAGGGAACATTTATAAAAAAATGAAAATTAATTCTAAAATAATCAAGAATGATTATATACTTTCAATTATTACTCGTAGAAAGCAATTACCAATGTCACGCGCAAACTAAAAATTGGATAAATCTCATTCGCGATAAATATTCAATAATTCTAGTTCAATCAAATGACCGTGCATTAATTTTGTTCAATTGGATAACTATATTTTTATTGGCTATATATGCAAATGGTGGTTATATCTACACCATATTTTTTATAAGTACATTATGTTTAAATTATTTTAAAGGTCATTAATTTTTAATTATTTTCATACTTATATACTTAATTTGTTTTATCACATTCTTATTTTTAATATTTTACTGATTAGAAAATTTTGTCCTTACTCATGATTTTCGCTCTAAAATATTTTAAATGTGCGATAAAATGAAGATCAATTATTTAATGGCATTTTTGCATTATTATTTGTTTTTCTTATTTAAAAATAGGATGAATAACTGTGTATTTTTACTCTATCTTATTATTATTTTTTTAAAGAAAAATCATAATCGGGAACAAATTATGCAAATTTGTAAATAAAAATACAATTTAAAAATATTTTGAGATTTAAATGTGATAATGTGTAAAGTTAAACATTTTATTCAATTAAAATATAGTCTAGTTATTAAAAAATGTTGTGTGAATATATCTAGCCACATGCAAAACTTCCCATTTTTTGGCTATTTTTCAAAATGGGGTGTCTAAACTGGATTTCAACAACTCTCCAAATAAATACACATTGCATATTTATATATACACACATAATTTTTCTTTTAGTTTTTGCATATACATAATTAAATAAGTTATTTTATATTTAAAATCAAGTACAATTCTTATTTTATATATGTACGATTCAAACTCTTTTTCTTCTTCGCTTTTTTATATGTGAATTTCAAGTCAAAACCAGTTTGTTAATAATATATGTGTTATATATTTACAAATAAGAGTTCGATTTCGAATTTGATTAATTTATATTGTTTTGGATTTGTTTAAGTCCCATTTTTAAGGAAATAGGTTTTATGATAATGATTTTTCGAAAAGTGTGTGATTAATTTTTTTTTTTTTAGTTTATGTATAAAATTGTTTTATTGAAAAAAAATATATAATTAAAATTAAGTTTGGAGAAAAATAAGTTTTTATAAAATGAGGCTTAGATAGGGGAAGGGGAGTATTTCGTCATAATAATAATAAAAAAAATCCTCTGACAAATTTTTTTTCTTTTTAATTGCTGAATTCATTGTCAAATTATGTCCTTGTTTGATGATCATAAATTGGCAAAAAATATTTTAAGTAATATTTTTATGAGAACGTGTAGTTAAATGGTGTGAAAAATATTTTAATTTACGTACAAAGTATTTTATTATGTGAACATGTAATTGAAAATGAGAGTTTATTTGATGTTGATTATGAAAATCAATTTTTTTATTGTTAGAAAAAAAATGAATTCCATCTCTGAGTGAAGAAGTCAAAAGTGACGGTTGACTATAACCAAATGGAGCTAAGTACATAGAAAGAGAAATTTTCAAATAAGCTCCCGTTTGATTCCTATTCTTTGGTTACAAAAATGAAAAAATATTATCGTTATTCATCGCATCAAATCAGCATATTTGACTTTTATCTCTTATGTGAGTCTCATAATGAATATATTTTCATTTTTATTCTTAAAAAATGGATACCAAACAGGGCCTAATCGGTAGTTAAACCTGTATAACTTTTAGCTCCCATTTTGTAGAGATGAAAATGACTGAAATAGTTTTTTTTTGAAAAATGAGTGGTTGAAAAAGAAGAAAAAATTTTTGATTTACATATAATATTATTTTATAAAATATTGTGTTATTGAAAATAGGTGAGAGAATAATGAAATATAATATAATGAAATTTTACGAGAGCCAACGAATGGTATTTTCATTTATCATTTAGTACATTTACGGTTCGAACTATGAGACCTTTTTGGCATTTGCTATAAATAGTGAATACCTATTTTCAAATTCTGGTAATTACGAAAATTTGGGCAAAACACATCAATGGCGGCATCTCTAGGCAACTCTTCCCCAACTCTCCAAATCCTCTGCAAAAAATGCAAATTCCCAATAAACCCCTTCTTTTCATTCTCTCACTATAATAAATCCCATAATCTGGATTCCTTCAGTTCCTTTTCCCACCCTCTCACGCGCTCATACTGCCGCCGATCCACTATTCGAGCCGACTCGACCAACGCCGTCGAGCCTCCGAGAAAGTACGATTTTGATCTCTTTACTATCGGCGCTGGCAGTGGCGGCGTAAGAGCTTCCCGCTTTGCCGCCAATTTGGGGGCTTCTGTTGCCATTTGCGAGCTTCCTTTTGCTACTGTATCGTCTGATTCTACCGGCGGCGTTGGTGGCACGTATGTTTCCTTTATTTGCTATAGTTTACTTGATTGTTTTTATACAAAATTTAAATAGATACATATTGACCCATCTCTAGGAACTTAAGCTTCTTAGACGAGGCTATTCATATGTATCACAGCCGGGAAAATTGTTATGGTGTCCAACCTTTGATCATTATAAAACCTGGTCTGTACGTAGGCGACTTTTCGAAGATTAAACTTGAATGAATGCACAAGACACTCTCTAATTCTGTAAGGTTTTAGACGAGGTCGTTAACATGTAGCTATGTAGTGGATTTAGGTAGCTCTACAGGTTCCAAAATCTCATACCTGAAGTGTATTAAAAATCTCGGGGTATTCCTTCTGCAGTTTGAATTCCGGACTCTGAATTGGCTAAAGCTTGTAATTGGTGAATTTGTGAATCGTAGTGGAAATTTGTTCAGTGAATTGTCTAAAGGGATTATTGGATTCTTTTTCATTTGTTCTTGTATTTTGAATCACATCCCTTAGTTTGTATCTTCTGATATTTCATAATTTGCTTGTGGAAAAGTGAATGTTTCCCCGTGCTGGAGAAGATTTAAAATTGTTCCCATAAATTTATTTTAAGATGTTTTTATAGTGAAGTTGCATAAATTTGTGTTCAAGAAATATAATGATGGTAATAATGGAAAATTTTCTATCAATCTATTTCTATATGCTTGTCTTAATGCTTTGTTTGCCCTGATTCCATATCTTTTTGCTTTAATCATGCATTAATTTGATGAGACTTGAAGGAGCATAAATTGTAAGTTACTTTTGGGGGCGAGTACTTTGAAATTTAAAGGTTTGGAGTATTTTAGAATTTACAATGTTTTAGAACAGGTAAAACTAATACAGAATACATAAAATATCCTTTTATTCGTAATAGGAACGAAGATGACAGTGAATTACTGATTTAGGATCATATTGTCCAAAAACTTTATCACATCAGGTATATAAGTTCGATTCTTATTAAAACTAGGAATTTAATGAGAATGTAATGCAAAGATTAGAGTGATTTGGACAAAATGGAGAAGTACAACATAGTTTTATGTGATCTAAAAATACTTATCAAGTTAAAATATAGTACATTAGAATTATTAGACAAACTATGGTTTATGGCATTCAGTGTTATATGACTGAAACATAGAATATCCTTACAGTATGACTGAAACATAGAATATCCATACAATAAACATGACAGAGTGATGATAACAAGGATACATCCCTATAACTGAAGTGTCACTGTTGATGATAATTTATATGAATAATGGCTTAGATAGTGGGCATAAATTGCCTAGACTTGAAGAAGCTCTTTTTCACAAGATTCGATACAGTCCTAGAGAGAGGTGAAGTGGTGAACCAAAATTAACATAGCCTGTCGTGGTTACACTTGATCTAATTAGATCTCGAGCAATAGATATGCGGAGTGAAGGAAAGGATTCACATAGCTGACCCCAAATTTGTTGGAGTTAAGGCTTAGTTTGCTGTTGTCGTCTCTATATATAAATTTCTTAAAATATATGCCCTTGGTGAATGAACCAGTGGAGAGTGAAAATATGCTGGGCACAGTGAACTGCCAATAAAAAGAAGCTTGTGTGAATGCTGTAGATCGATATATTTGATCTATCTATTTAAGAACCAATTACTTTCTCCTTTCTCTTTTAGTAGAAGTGGTTGTAGCCAGTTTAGGATGACTTTTCTCTTTGCTCATAATAATAATAATAATAATACAGGAGATATTCTATCTGACAATTGTTATAATTCACATGTTCGTACAATGGTGAACTTATAACGTTCCAGTCACTGTCTAATTTAGTTTCTATCTAATCCTATAAAGGTGTGTACTCCGTGGCTGTGTACCCAAGAAGCTTCTTGTATATGCATCCAAATATTCTCATGAATTTGAGGAGAGTTGTGGTTTTGGATGGAAATATGCAGCAGAACCAGAACATGATTGGAGCACCTTGATTGCAAATAAGAACGCTGAAATTCAGCGACTCACTGGTATATATAAGAGTACTCTGAAAAATGCTGGTGTGGAACTAATTGGAGGGCGTGGAAAGGTTGGATAATATTCTGTCAAGCTTATCATATTTTTATCCAGAAGTCATATCTTCAGACTGCAACAAGTTAGTGATTGTTTGTATGGACTTCCATAACTCCACTTGCAGATTGTGGATCCACACACAGTGGATGTGGATGGCAAACTCTACTCAGCTAAAAACATTCTTATTTCTGTTGGTGGACGGCCTTTTATTCCTGATATTCCTGGAAGTGAATATGTAATAGATTCTGATGCGGCCCTTGATTTGCCCTCAAAACCTAAGAAAATTGCCATAGTTGGGGGCGGTTACATTGCTGTTGAGTTTGCTGGCATCTTCAATGGCTTGAAAAGTGATGTCCATGTATTCATAAGACAGAAGACGGTGCTAAGAGGCTTCGATGAAGAGGTAGCAACCACATAAATCTTTGCCCCGTTCACTTAATAATAGCCATTAAATTTCCCTCTTTAATTTATGCAGATCAGGGACTTCGTTGGAGAACAAATGTTATTGAGGGGAATTGAGATTCACACAGAGCAGTCACCTCAGGCTATTATCAAATCATCAGATGGTTCGCTTTCTTTGAAGACTAACAAAGGAACCATTGATGGGTTTTCTCATATTATGTTTGCGACAGGACGCAAACCCAATACAAAGGTTAATATTTTCCTCGTGTTGCCCACTCATCCTTTGTAGGCTTCTCGAGTTCTTTAAATTACCATTATGGACAGTATAGTGCTGCACTTTCCATGGGTTCTGCCTGCCTTTTTTGTCCTTATCTTTCTAATAGATGCATATGTACATACATTTAAACAGTAGGTATATGTTTGAGACCATGGTGTGCCTTTAAAGCATGCGGAACAATTTAAAGCATGCGGAACAATTTAGTTAGTTTGTTAGTTTCTCTTCCAAAGAAGGATTCTCCGCAGCTCATTAGATATTACTTTGATAAACTGACAGATGTTTTATTTGAGCAGCTATTTGTTGCTAGCTCAGAAAAAAGGCTCACACTGAGTGGATGATGAGTTTTTGGTTGTTGATGCATTGTAAATTTGTATTGCATTGCAGAATTTAGGATTGGAGTCAGTTGGAGTTAAATTGAAAGAAAATGGAGCAATAGAGGTATTATCTCTTCGTTTGGCTGATATTCTTCTCCTCACCTTCTTCTGCACAAGATACGTAATAGAGTGTTTAACGTTCAGTTCTTTTATTTCCTCAGGTTGATGAATATTCTCAGACATCTGTTCCATCGATTTGGGCAGTTGGAGATGTTACTGATAGAATAAATTTGACCCCAGTTGCTTTGATGGAAGGAGGGGCATTGGCAAAAACTCTTTTTGCAAACAAACCAACAAAACCAGAATACAGGTGCTCTTCCTACCATGATGAATCTTTAATTGACTTAAAATTGTGGGATAGATTGGTAGACCTCATGAACCTTACCCAAGCACACTTAGTATACGGTGGGAAAGATGCTCAATCATTTTATTATTGCAATTACTAAATTTGAATGTAACGGAAGAGCACTAGCTTTCTTCTCACCATATAGCTTTCTTGTCTTATCCAGGGCTGTACCATCTGCAGTTTTTTCTCAACCACCTATTGGACAAGTTGGTCTTACTGAAGAGCAGGTGAGCAAATGGATTTGGATGACTGATAAAGTTACAATTAGTTGTGATACTTGACATGGCATAATTTTGCAGGCAATAAAGGAATATGGTGATGTTGATGTTTATACAGCAAACTTCAGGCCCTTAAAGGCTACTCTCTCAGGTCTTCCAGATCGAATTTTTATGAAACTAATAGCATGTGCAAAGACAGACAAAGTTCTTGGTTTGCACATCTGTGGTGAAGACTCACCAGAAATTATGCAGGTTGCTTCCTCTCGTCTTATTTTCCCATGAAATGATTTGCATGTCATATGGCATATTAGAATACTGGATATCCAGGGATTTGCGGTTGCTGTAAAAGCTGGCTTGACCAAAGCAGACTTTGATGCCACTGTGGGTATTCACCCTACAGCAGCGGAGGAACTTGTCACCATGAGGACACCTACGAGAAAGCTTCGGAGGACTCCATCTGAGGTTAGTCCATTACTTAGAGCTTTCTTTACATACTATTATTTTTTTAGATGACGAGAACTCTGATTTCTTAAGTAGCCCTTTGGAATGCTCAGTACTAGAATAAGCAGTCTTTTCATGAATCATGTATTCTTCATAATTCTTACAATTCAAATTTTCTTTGTGATAAGCCTAGATTAGTGTTCACCACAGACTGTCGTTTCTTTTGAAATTTGATAGGCGTGTTTCTAATTTTATGTTCACTGAAATCTGATTTCCTCTGTTTCTCACTTTATTTGACCCATACTCCCAGTTCATATAACTTGCTGAAAGATTAGTAATCAAATACTTCATTTTGTTAATCATTCTTTTGCTTCTATTCGGTTTATCATGACTTCTATTTATAGTTAGCCATTTCACTCGTATTATTTCAGGGAAAAACGGATTCTGAGTTCAAAGCCGCTGCTGGAGTTTGATGCTGGTGATAAAAACAATCTACCTGCTCCTTTAAAATTGATTTTTGGTGCGCAAGGTATTTTGTCTAGGAGTTCAATACAGTTGATGTCGTCGTTGTTTCTTCTCTGTTCTGTCTAGTTTCCTTTTCTTCATTTTCTTTGAGTAATTCGTGTTTGCATCTGCATGGGAAATATGTGCTATGGACTTTTTATTTCTGGAGGCAGGGTTGCTGCAGTCTACCATGCATTTATGATTTTTACAACTCACCACACTTCTGAATTAGGCATGTTTGTTAAGCTTAAGTTAACATATAAGTAATAGGTAAGTTTTAACCAATACAGTTATTTCCTTGGTCTAAGTTCGACATAATGGCAAGAATCACTTTCAAAACAAATAAATTATGTTACTTAAAAGCAAGGAAGATAAGATATCTAAACTTTTAACTTTTTTTAAGCTTAGCCAAACATGCTTGTAGTCTTTTGCCACAGTATTTATTATTTTAGTAGCAGCATGTGTTTCTAACAATCATTTGAGGGCAGGACAGATGGCAACAATTTATTTTAACGGCAGAATAGAAGAAATTTGCTGAAGTATTCCTACCCCTCTGAATACCTATATTAGATTCTGTGCGCATCTGTCATGGCATGAATGATATCATGCTAAAATTTTAAGTAGAAACCTCAACTTCAAGATCATTTTACTAGTGCTAGTCTCTTATGGTATATTGTTCCCCTTTCTGTGGGTTAATAGATTTTGGAGTAGTGAGTTTTTGGAGAATGTGTGGTTAAAAAGCAGGGAAAAGTTTTGGATTATGTATAAAATTATTTTATTAAGAGAATGTATGGTTGAAAATGAGTTTTGGAAAAATGGTGCTCAAACAAGGGCATTGATTGTTTGTCTTCACATTTTAAATTGACGGATTTGCAAAATAGTTCTTCAATATAATTACAAAAATCTCTTTGGTACCCTTTTGGAATTGGTTGTCAAATTCTATATCCGATTGGGGCAGTTGATAATTGAATTTGATTTTGACCTTTATTTTCATCTTAGTAATTGTGCGAAAGTGGTGTTGAGTTTCTTAACCCTTTGACTGAGGATTTGTTAGTTCTATTTCTCCATGAGGGTAGGGAAGGGATAAACCTTCCAAAAGATGTCTAAATGACTAAAGTCTAGTATTCTCCAAATGGTAGAATTTTCTTTGGAACTCCTTGGTCACTTGCTGTTGCACGTACACATGAATTTTGATGCATTCACGTTATCTCGTTCAAATTAAAGCCTTCTCATGCTGCTGCCCTTTTCTAACCTTTTTTATTCTCTCATCTTTCCCTACTATTTACAATTGAATTGACAATATATGGCCTATACTGGGCTAATTTAGTATTTTGTGTCCGCAAGTACTACACAGTTATCTACTACTCATTTCTATCTATTTATAATTTAAACACTTGCCAAACGGGCTTTAGTTTTTCTCTCCTTATCTGTAAAGCATTTAAATTGGAAAATGATATTATTCACTGTCAGGAGATATTTGGATTAAGCTTACTGTGTATGTTGTAGAGAAAAAAACCTTCAAAAACATTGTCTTCCAGCCTTTTTTAAATATGCCGTTAACACAACTTTTTGAGATTGTTTAGTCTCGTGGTAGATATAAACCGAGATATTTTTTCTGCGTACTTACTATTGTTTTTTAATGTCATGATTTGTGGGCTGGAATAATGTTTCTGTACTCAATGCTTCTTGTAGATGTATGAAGGTCATCTCCGATGATAGGAAGATTATGAAACCTCGTATCTGGGCATGAAGCTGTTTCTAGGGAGCCATGGCCATTGATTTATCTCTGTGAATTCAAAGGTTACTATCTGTATCACAAGCTGAATCCATCATAATCTTATGTACTGATTTCTTTCCTTGGATTATCACTTTTTGTGTTAGTTATACGAGCTACTGGATGAGTTCTATTGTCTATAGTGTTTCTGTATTTATGAATTATCCAGTATGAGTGATCGTGTTTCGAGAAAGAAATATTCGACCCCAAAAAAGGCTCTTTTTTCAACTTTTTTATGTTTCTTTCTTATGCAAGTAAAGTAACAACATCATAGGGTGGACAAGAAAACAAGAAGGGAAGTAAGTATGGCCCCCATTAGCTGTTATGGGCCGTATAATGAAACCCAAAAGTCCAAAACTACAAACGTGTTCACACGTGTGGCAAGGCCCACATCTCATTTAATACCTCACACGTGTACCATCTCAATTTTATTCCTTGTACACTCTAGGGCAAGATTATCATCTATCTGTAATGTTTTCTGTCACTCTCTCTGTTTTCATTTTATTATTGTTTGAAAAATACATCGTCGTGAGTTGGCAAGCAGTCGATTTTGAGCGAATTCAATTCGACAAACAATGTTCAGTGATAGAAGCATGTCTACCTAGTTAATAGTATGTTTGGCAAATATTTTTTAAAATTATAAGTTGGTCAAATATCAGTTTTATCATAAGATTCATTGATCATAATCTATAAAACGCTTTACCAAAACATTGTCTACGCTTAAAATGTAAGAGTTATGAACCTTTTGAAAAACTTATTATTTTTCCAACACTTATCACACATATTTTAAAGCAGTTTCTTAATTTCTAAATCAATTTTTAATTTTTTAAAGTCACGCCAAAGGGCATTAAAGATGATCCATAATTAGATGTGTGGCATAGAAGTTGAAAATAATGGATAAACAACCACTAAATTCCAAAGCCTAATCTAATCAACTTAATGAAGGGACCCTTTGTTTCTGGTCCATAAAAATTTTGCAAAGACAAGGGATATGTCATTGGTGGAAAGAAGTATTTTTTCGTACTCATGTGATCTTTTTACTATGAGAAAATATGTAGAATAAGATACTTCGAAGAGTTTTGAGGAATTGTTTATTGTAACTTTTGTTTGTGCTTCTTAAATTTTGCACAGAGGAGAGTTTCGTTTGAGATTATATAAATATGAGCGTTTGTTGACTATTTTTTACTACAAAAATAGAATAAAGAGGTTGGAAGAGTTTAAAGTCTTGTCTGAGATAATGTATTAGACGAGTAACATAATGAGTTACTGAGTTACTCGTATTTTGTGGTCATAGTATTGACAAGTGGTATGTGAAATTGCTTCATGCATATATGTTGTCTGAGTAATGTTATTTATGTTGGAGATATTAGCTTGTTATTTGAGGTAACGGAATTATAGAAAATTAATGTATCCAATAACGAGCGATCATATAGGTTGATTATTAAAGTTGTTGACTATGAGTAGTATTATACATGTTTTTAATGCTATTGACAATGTTTCTAGTAGCAGTTGAGTTTAAGTCCACAATAATTTATGCATTAAGTTAATTATAATTTTCCAATAGTGATAGGTTGACTGATTTATTCAATTAATGGAAAGATTTTCTTGATATGAAAGTTAATGGTTTGTATCCAGTCTACGTTTGCGGTTTTCGTGGAGACGCGTCAAATTTTTAAAATGGATGTCCTAAATTTATTTAGCAATTCATGTCATAATTAATTCTCTAGAAGGATGAAATTCTATACAAATACCAATCAACTTGAGCTATCCATATAAATAGAAATATATTTTCTAGCCCCCCGGAGCACTTCTCCACTGACAAAGGACGGGTTCTCTCAAAGCTGACAGATCAGAGATCGTGGATTTGATTCTTGGAGCTCTTGAAAGGCAAGACACATATTGAAAGACAGGATTTATTCTGGAAGGAATGAGTGTCTTGAAAGGTAAGATGCAACATGGGTTGGCTCATTAGGCACTTTGGCAGTCCAGTTGGAGATGTGCTCGGACCCTGATCAATTGGAGGCACATCTCGCGGTTTAACTGGTCTGTGTGAAAAGGGGCCGAATCACAGACCCAATAAATAGTCGCTGAAGGCGGACACCTTGATTAAAAAAAAAAGAAAAAGAAATATATTTTCTATTATGATTTATAAAGACGTGACGAGTTATATAACATTAACATCATCACATTATTTTCTATCATCGATAGAATTGGTTATTTTTCTCCATTATTGATTACTATCAAAAATAAAAGTTACTGAAGAATTTTAATTTAGTGTTGGTAACTGTATCGCGTTAAAATTTGCTAGAAACTTCATTTGTTGCTAATTGTTTGTCACCACGTTCGTCTTCCTTCGATCAATTTATTTCAAGGTTTGCAACTCTGAAGTCCTAACCATACTTGTCGGACAAAAAGGTATAATTTGAAATACATTCAAATTCCATTTTACTCGAAAAATTATATTTGACTATCAATTTTCCCTAAGAAAAGAGGGAATGGAGCATTGAATTGGGGCATGCCCACATGCCAGCCCATCACAGTTCCTACATTGGGTCCCGCTAAGACAATTCACGTGGCCAATCAGAATTCATCACCCGACATAATGGGACCCATCTCACATGGGCTGCTCAGCCGGATCTAACGGTCATTAATTCACTCCCACCACCGCCTCTGCGCCATCGATCTCCGGCCTACCGCCTTGGAAAGTGTCCCACCTTTGTTCCCTCATTGCACTACATTAGACTTTAATTTGTCATTCATTTGACCAGCAGACATAGCTGTATTAACAAATTTATGTCCCACTCAAAAATTATTGTACTAGTCTAATACACGCGTCGAAAATTTATAATCATTAAACCCTCGTTTGGTTATGCTTTTTCCTTTAAAAAATTAATTTTTTGATTGCAATTTTCAATAGTCAATCATCATTTTTTAACTTCTTCACTCACAGATAAAATGCACTTTCCATCTAATGATAAAAAAATTGATTTTCAAAATCATTACCAAAAAATTTATCTCGTCTATTCTTTTGTACTAGCACTTTTGAAGAAAGTGATTCAAATCTTGTATTTTTACATGGTAAGATGTGTTATAAATTAATTTAAATAATTTTTCGTCGCGTCCTTCCTCGTCTATATGTGTCTAGATATTTACTGTAAGTCTTTTCTCGATAAATTTTTAGAAAAAATAACTCAACAAGCTATTCTTGGTCGTGACGAGAAACACGTGACCCGTGATTTTGATGTAATGAAATCCATGCACACGGAGAATAAGTAACCTAGACATTGTCTCACCTCCAATCATCCTATAAAAGTTTCTTGTAACCCTCCCATTTTTCATAACTCAAACCCCCAATTCTCCATTAAAATTTCTTGATTCATCAGAATCTTAACAAACCCTAAACAGGTTCTTCTTGAGCAAACTTTTGATATATTTTCAAGATGGAAAGAGCATCAGCAGCTTATGAAAATGATCTCAATTTGAAGTCAACTGAATTGAGATTAGGGTTACCAGGCACAGATGAATCATCTGAGAAACAATCTTCAAGAAACTATAAGAGATCTTCACCAGAAATGGATAATTCATGTCAGAAGGATGAACAAAAATGTGTCCCAGCTTCAAAGTAAGTGCTTTTAACCAAGAAATACGTTCGAATTTTGTCATAGTATTGCATATCAATATGTCCTTATCGAGTTACGTTTTGATGTTTAGAGCACAAGTAGTTGGCTGGCCACCAGTTAGATCGTACCTGAAAAACGTTCTGCACCAGAAAAATGATTCAGATTTGTATGGGATGTTTGTAAAAGTGAGCATGGATGGAGCTCCTTATCTAAGGAAGATTGATATCAAGGTTTACAAGAACTACCCAGATCTGCTCAAGGCCTTAGAGAACATGTTCAAATGCTCGATCGGTAAGAACCCGGCCCATCATGTTTGCTAAGCATACGAAAACAAATCCATGTAGTCGACTTCAAATTTACGTTTCTTCTATGTATATTTTCAGGGGTGTATTCAGAGAGAGAAGGTTGCAATGGATCTGAATTTGCACCAACTTATGAAGACAAGGATGGTGACTGGATGCTGGTTGGGGATGTTCATGTTCATTACTTCTTGCAAAAGGCTAAGAATAATGAAAGGATCAGAAGCTAAAGGGTTGGGATGTCTATAGAAACACAAGGGAGAAATTGCATACAAGATGAAGTTCAATGAGTTTCATGCATCAAACAAAAACCTTTCTTAACTTGGGTTCTCCGGGGAAATACGAAGTATTAGATGGGATCGGACAGTACAATAGACAGAAGTAGTTCCAACATTGGTCTGGTTTAGGGCAGGAAAGAAATTTTAGATCTGTACAACTGAAAGATAGCCTCATTTTATTTTATTTTATTTTTCTCCATTTTTTGTTAATTCATCTTTTTGAGGATTTTTATGTACTTATATTCTGTATCCTTTACAAAATTTACTCTTTAAATAAAAACAGATCATAATTAAATTGTCAACATATTTCAGATCTGCAGATTTAGATCCTTTGATGGTTCCATAAAGAGTTCCTACATAAACGGATTGCTTATCACGTACTACAGTAACAAACTAAGGTTTATTTTCTGAAAATTTAAAGTCAGGCTATATAAATTTTCGTTTGTGTTAAGTCCATTGCTAAATATACTATAAGATCACACGCCACTATATGTATTGCAAGTTGCGCCTACAAGTTGGGTCGATTTATGTCCACTTATCTTCCTTTTCTAACTTATTATTACACTGATTCTTCATTTCAACATTCCATTCATTCGTTGCTATCCACAAGATCAAATGCAACTAGATCTTTCACAACCACAACTACATCGTTCAGCCATCATTTATCCCAGATCCAGAAATGTTCTAGTGTGTGTGTGTGTATATATATATATATATATCACTACTTCCCTCTATACTTAAAAGAGGGAATCCGTCGGTTACTATTTATTCATGACGTATTTTATTTTCCCCTTTTATCCTCAAATAAAACAACAAAATACTGACGCCATTGGTAGTCAATTCAACCAAATTTGTGGTACTCACGCTATTTTGACTAAATTTTATTATTATATAGAAAATATCTTCATTGTGATCAAATTTGCAAAGATTGATCAACAATGTATATATAAAGGGGATAAATCTTTTTTGATGTGATTTAGAAAATCTCCTAATAAACTTTTAAATTATTTTTAATGTAAAAAGAGACATGATTTAAAAAATAAAATTTTTTGATAACAAACTAGTCGAATCTATAAATGTTCTATATTCTCTCAAAGCTCATTTTGAGAACTATATTATAGTCACATCGAATGATCTGAATAAATATCGAAAATAGTTAAACGCATATCAAACGTGTGTGTTCAAAAATGCATATAACTCGTCTTTTTTTATTAAAAAATCAATTATTTTCTTAGTGTTTATTATTTTTGCGCAATAATTTTCTTAATATAATTAGAACGATAGAAAGTATATTTTCATAAAAGATGCCATAAAAGGAAGAGAATAACTGTAATTGGGGATTTGGAAGGGAAAACAGCGGATTTTGACGTCGAAAATGATGCCCCACCCAACGAAGCTCGGTGGCCATGATGTCCGTGTCGAAAAGAGCTTTTCGAATTGGGGTCATGGAGGAGATTCTGATAACCGTAGCCAAAGTTATGATCAAATTATCAAAATTTGGAAAGCTCTTTTCGACACGCACGTTATGGCCATCGAGCTTCGATAGGTGAGCATCGTTTTCGACGTCAAAATTTGCTGTTTTCCTTTCCAAATCCCCAATTATTGTTAAAATAATCAAGATGTTTTTCTTCTTTGTTTTGTTTTCCCCTCACGCATGTCCCCATGGCACTAATTTTAGAAGTGGACAATTTTAAATCAATATGACACTTGCCCATAAATCAATAAATGGGACTCAATTGTGGACAAAAAAAAAAAAAAATGCAAAATGCGTGCGTGCTGTTGGCTTTCTTACCACATAAAATTGCTCCAGTTTTCAAAGATGCTTTCTTTCCGCACATAGATAAAGTAATTGTAGTATGAAATCAATTCAGTATAAATTATCCTTCTCTTCTACAGAGCTTATTCTATTGAATTGGCTTTTACACTGCTAATGCTTATTGTTTTGTGTTTCTTCAGAAATAATTCTACTTTATACTCCATAATTCAAACTTTCGAGAGTTTAATTAAATGCTACTTTATGTACAGACCTAAATATCCACTAGTATAGTGAGAATTCCATCATTGTACAAGAAAATAAAGCTTGAGATATTTGTTCAAAGTTGAGATCATATAGCAATCAACAAAAATTAGAGCACGTTCAGCTGTGCTTAAACATAAGTAAAAGTTACTTTTAAGTGATATTTTATTTTCTATCATGTTTAAACGATCAACTTTTCTCTTATTCAAAGTAAAAAAAAATACCTTTAGTTGTAATACTTACCGTAATGTCATGTCAAGTTTCAGTTAATAAAAATAATCTCTCTACTGAAAGCACATATTGTACATGAGGTTTTCAATTATACAGTTTTATTGTTTGTTCTTATGTAATTCTGATAAAAAGAATTGTAGATGGGGTAAGGATGTGAGAAGAAAACTATTTTTTAAGACTTAAAATACCAAGTATAAAATGCTGAAAATAAAAGTGTAAAAGGGGTCGAACATTGAACTGTGCATGGAATTTATTGTTAGAAATATATGGAAAATATAGGGATTATCTGGATTTATAAGTTAGGTGGTGTAGATTTCATAATCTTCAAATAAGATGGATACCATAGTCATCTCCATTATTGTAGTTCAATTGCTTTTTTTGCAAGTAATTTTTTTTTTTATTTAAGCCTTCTTTATTATATAAATATATTAAGTCTTGATAAATTATGTTTTTTTAATGTTCATTTTAATTTACTTCTCTTTCTATTCCTCTTTCTATTAAGAGTCTACTGCTCATTCCTGACTATCTCTTTTTATTTTTCTTAATCCTTATTTGCTTAATCTATTGCTACTAAAATTTCATGGAGGTAACTTTATTTCTCATTAGCTTCTAATGGCTTTTTCTCCATAATTTACCATTTGTGATTAACATATTAGGTCTTGCTAATATTCTTAATACAAATAAAGAACTGATTAACCAAATACTAAAATTTTCCATTCAATTCTCTTTCAACTAAATGTTCCTTTTTTTTCTCTTTATTCTTCGCATTGGAAGAATAGAAAAAATTGATATTATTCAACCTAAGACCTATTTAAATGTAGCAAATAAAAACGAAAATTTTTCTATTGAATAATTACAACAGTATCATAGAAATGAAGTCCTTAAAACATTTCAACAATAAATCGTTAAATGAATAAGATAGCCTTCAGCGGAGAAAAATACTATTTGATTGAAATAAATACTTAAAACTTTTAATGGAATTAGTATCATGTACTAACATCCAGAAAGGCAAAACAACTGCACAACATCAATTACTCGACAATGCAATAGTTATTATAACTGGTAAAAAAAATCTTGATATCCTAGAGCCAAGTTAAGGCAAAAATAAACTTTTTAGTCAAATCGATCAATCTTCAAGTCAATAGCATGCTAAAAGGTAAGGCAGCACATAAGTTCGATAAAATATCATTTTTCAATTTTGTTGATAATTGTCTCTTTTATTGTGCTTTTTTCCTCACTTTGTATTGCTTCTATACGTTTAACGCATATATTTATCCATTGTTTCTATAGTATAAATATTATGTCAAACAGGGTTGATCTACTACATCGTTTCTTTATAATTATCGCAATCTTGATATCCTAGAGCCAAGTTAAGGCAAAAATAAACTTTTTAGTAGAAATATGATTTAATTACTTATAATTAACCTATATGTTGATAGCCTACATTTGGACTTCATGCAATGCTACATCATCATCATTTGGAGATTGACATCCTTCTAGCTAAAATTATTCCAGGTAATTAAACAAATTTATGATTTCTGATTTTATAAATAATATACAAAATTATTTATTCTAACTCTTAATGTCTCCACTTTTTTCTGCAGATACATCTAGGAGTCGAATATTGGCAATAGTGCTTGAGCCTCTTCCAAAGCATTTAACACTAAATTTAAAAAGAACTCTTCCAAAAGCTTACCATAATTTAAATGAGCAATCAAATATCTTCACGAAAAACTTCTCTTTTGTTTATAGCTACAAAATGAACACGATATATCTCAAACCAACAATGACTTTTCTATTAAAATATTTAATTGTTCTTTTAAATTATTTTTTGCTTTTGGAAGACTTCTTTCTAATTTAATGATGATTACTCTGGAAGAGGTCCAAATTCTACGTTTCAACATCATATTACATTGAGGTGATTCTTTAACTAACATTTATTATATAACATTATTTTTTCATGGTGCCATTTGCTGCTTTTGTACTCTATTTTAAAATGGACTTTTGAAGGACAATTTAATCGACCTTAATTACTGGTTAATACCTGCCTAGCTGCACAAAATCTATTAAATTTTTCTTTAATTTATACTTTTACTAATATTATGCAGGTAAATAAAATGAGATCTAATCTTAATGAGATTGGGTAAAACGTTAATTTAATCCATCAGATAGTATCCAACTTGGTAAGCTACCACATCATGATTGTTTATATGTGATGTAATATTCTTTTTGCTACATTTTTATCTCACAGTAATTCCTTCTAAATAACTTTATGAATGTAGGAAGTTTTTTATGATTATTACAATGGACCATCTAATGGATGATCAAGTCATAACAAAAGGAAAACTTGACTAATCATCGTCATACTAGTTTCAAGACAACATCAATGCCATAACATAAAAGTTTTATTTGCTCATTCTGTCCTTTCCATCTAAATGATTTTACCACAACCACCTCCAAAGCTTTGTTTATTCAGTAGCACTGATAACAAGAATTTTGTGAGTCTTTTGGCTTGTAACTTTGTTTTGTTTTGAAACATTGCTTCTGTAAAAACTCTTCCATGAAATTTGAGCTTGGCAACAATGTATAATAAGTTTCATGATGCTTTAGCTTCTAAGTTGACTATGAAGATATAATGAGTGCAGCTTCTGAAAGTTCTTTTCGACATGCATGTCGTGGCCACCTAGCTTCGCTGGGTGAGAATCGTTTTCAAAGTCAAAATCTACTATTTTCCTTTCCAAATCCTCAATTATAGTTATTCTCTTCCTTTTATAGCATCTTTTATGAAAACATACTTTCTATCGTTCTAAATTTTTATCCTACGTCAAAATTTTTTTTTTGACGTCCCACACTTTTTTTTAAAAAAATTATGTAAATTATATTTAAAAAATTATCGCGCAAAAGTAATAAACATTAAGAAAATAATTAAGAAAAAAGACGAGTTATACGCATTTTTGAACACACACATTCAATATACGTTTAACTATTTTCGATATTCATTTAG